TCTTTCTTCCCATATAAGTCAATGGTATTGCGAAAGCTGCTTGTTGAAGCTCCAGAGGTCAGAAAAAATTAAAGGAATTCTAAAGTCCCATCATAGTCCCTCTCCTGTTATAACATCAGCATTGTAATGGGAATACATACTAGAGATGTTTTTGATAATACAATCAAAGCTTACTAGAAAAACAATCAGTTTTATTTAGCGGGTGCTGCCTTTCATAAATCATCATATACCTCCATCCATTATTCCATCGATTCCATCCATACATCCATAGTACCATAACTTCCAACCACTTCCTGGATTCCCAGTGTGCTTTGCATCTCTTTTCCTGCCGCTTGGTGTGATGGAATCTCTATTTCTCAAGACTACATTTCCCACCATGCATTACATCCAGCAAGCAATGATGATGTTACATTGTTCAGATGTTGAGCTGTAGTTCAGAAGGCAAGCTCTGTGACACAAAGAAGTGTATATTTACTTTTTGGGTTGAGTGCGATTGTGTCACTGCACTGAGGAAGTCCATCCTAGGGGCATCTTCATTAAGTAAGTTTGCAAACTTCTAGATGGATCTGGTTATTAGGAGTGGGATAGATTTTATTTTTAGCTTTGACCATAGATACCATTTTGCGAGGCTTCTGAAACATCACAAATGCAAGCGGGATACACCTGTATACATGCTACATTTATATGATTTATAACATCTATACAGATAGCCATAAATGCATGCAATGGGATCTGCAAGCAACGCATGTATGGATGGAGCTCCCTTTTGGTCATACCCCAAGCTGACACTCCGCACTGGGCAGCATATTTTGAATGGCTGCTTGGCGCGAGAACTGACATAGCTGCGCTAGGGGATAAGCTGAGGAGCCTCTCGCCTAGCAAGTGGAAAGCACGTATTGACCCACCTTTGGGTCTCGGCCCACCATCTAAACAATCTCTGGAACTGCTCAAAGCAAACAACAACCTTAAAATCGTACAAGTTTCATATAATGGTCACAATTTTATATTTATTATTGTTTGTCCTTGTATAATCGCTTCAATAAAGATCTTTCCGCGGATGGCCAAACTCATCTGAAGAAGGTAAAATCCAATTGGTTGTTGCCGGTTGCTGTATTGTATGATTGACGGCGTGTGTTTTGTGCTGTTCAGGACTTGTTTATAGCAGACAAGCCAAATGGTCAGGGTCACAGAGTTGCAGATATTGCTGCTCGTAGTTCTCTGTGATCCCTTTGTGTGCGTGAGCAGTGAAAGCAGATATACATTAACTTGTGTTCTCCACGCCTCTTCATTCCCACCTCCCTCTTTTTACAGTGTCTCTTGTGCCATCTAAAACCCGCTCCGCCTGTATTTCTGGAAGCCCGTGTGACTTTGCTTGGGTTAGGTTTTGTCATTCGGAATACTGTGTATACCTGCGGCCTTTTTGGCTTTGAGTTTCTACCGATCATGTGCTCTGATGAAATATCATTTCTCCAATTAGAGTAAGTGGAAAAAACAGCCTAGGGCAGACGGAGTCAGGATATCCCCAGTGAATTGCATGTTGGTTGATAAGGTAATTGCTTTCAGAAGAACGACGTATTTCGGAAGGTTTACATGTTCGCTGGACATGGTGGGTGTATGTCAGGGGTGGCCGGTCTGTCCAGTCCAGGAACTAGCAGGATTTTATTTTGGGAACCAGCTCCATTAACAACAACTAAAGAAAACTTCAGAAACTAGGTACCATTTTTAAGGAGCTTTGGCTACCTGGCTCCGTGGATTTGTCCCGTCCTGGTCTACGTAGAACTGGACGCAGTTTGTCTTTTCTGATGTGTTCTAAAAGCTTAAAGGAGAACTATGAGGTGAGTGCTTTTCACTCACCTCATAGTTCTAGCCGACCTGTGACAATGAGACTGACACAGGTCGGCTCAGTAGATCGGGAGGTGAGCGAACACATACCGGCATTCGCTCACCTCTCGATCCTGTCACAGCTCTCTGCCGTGATAGGGGAGGGGCTGGATTCCCCGCTCTGATCCGCCAGCGCTGGCTGGCGGATCGGACGGGGGAGGGGGCGGGTACAGCTGGCTCTGCCTCCTAGATAGGCAGAGCCAGCTGTCACTTACGCAGCTGGGCGGATCCAGACATAATTGTCGGGATCTGTTTCAGCTGCGGCGTCTCAGTATACCGCGAGCTGTAGGTCGCGGTATACTGAGCTTAGGGTGACGGGAGGACGCTAGTTTGTGTCCTCCCGTTACCCTAAGGAGAACCATGGGGAAAAGCCTTAACCCCATAGTTCTCCTTTAAAATAAAAGCAGCACCCCTTGCCAAATGCAATGCAACGCATCGCAACCGCAGCATGTGTACAAGCATGAGCAGCCGTATGTTTATGCCACCCCCGTGAACGAAGGCCTATGAAACACTAATTTTAGCCTGAATGGGAAAAGTGCAACAGTCTTAAGACTGGCCCTACACTATGACTGAAAAACTCTTGATTCACCCATCTACGCCAAAAGCCCCTGCCAGGCTATAGTAATGGTGCTGATGACCAGTGGCTGCAGCTGTTTGGGCTGATCGGCCAAGAATTCATGGACCAGCTCCTTTTTGAGTTGGATAGAAAACGTGACCTTTATCAAACGGGAAGGTGTCCCAAGATGGCCACACAACGATCAATCTTTGGCCAAATCGGCAGGGTTCAGGTGAAATTCGACCATTGTAAGACCAGCTTCAGAGACATATGTAGGCTTCATCTGTTGACCTCCACTGAATGTGCAAGTTCTCTACGTGTCATGGTGACCTAATGGCTCCAGTACCAGGAAATGATCAGGAGCTCGGATCTCCCACATCTTCGTGCTTTTTCTTGCTCTGTAATTCCAAAGTAGTGTTGAAAGCTTAGGTAACCAGGCAGCTAGCATTTTCAGAAGGTCCACTATTGCAGACATCACATTTCTGTCATTTCAAGTTTTCTTTAGGGTGCACACCAGAATCGGAAGGAAATCGCAAGTCAACGGAGGGTCCGCTGACTTGCAGTTGTACCTTTCTGATTTTCCTTGCATTGCGATCCGGTTTTCAACGGATGCTAATGGAAGGGCACTGAAAAATGAATGGGTGTGAACGAGACTAGTTCACGCCGGATCCGTCGAGATTTCCAGCCATCCAATGTGAATACAAGGGTTCATTCACACCCAATCCGTTCGGCTGCGTTGTGATACTTTTTTAATGGATGCCAACGGAAGAGCACTGAAAAATGAATGGGTGTGAATGGGACTAGTTCATGCCGCATCCGTCGAGATTTCCAGCCATCCAATGTAATTATAAGGGTCCATTCACAACGGATCCGTTTTGCTGCGTTCTGATACTTTTTTAAGGGATGCTAATGGAAGAGCACTGAAAAATGGGTGTGAATGGGACTAGCTCACACCGGATCTGATGAGATTTCCAGCCATCCAATCTACACCGATGTAATTATAAGGGTCCATTCACAATGGATCCGTTCTGCTGCGTTCTGATACTTTTTTAACGGTGGCTAATGGAAGGGCACTGAAAAATGAATGGGTGTGAATGGGGTTAGTTCACACCACTTCATTACGTTGTGCTGAAAAAGGTAGTGCATGTTCTACTTTTTATTCAGCGCAAGGTAACACATTGGTGTGAACTAACCCCATTGACATCCATTCATTTTTCAGGGCCCTTCCGTTGGCATCCGTTAAAGTATTGCAATGTAACAGAACGGATCGGGTGTGAATGGACCCTTATATTCACAATGGTGTAGATTGGATGT